AGGAGGATGCAGGGATGGGAGGGGGAGGGGGGGAGAGGGGGCAGGGAGGAGTGCGGGGCGCGCGTGCAGGAGGGGGGAGGAGGGCCTTCGTTCTGGAGCGGGGCCGGGCGGCGCAACGGCCGGCACGGGGGGGTGATTTCAACGACCTCCCAGACTTTGGAGTGGAGGCTGGCCGGCGGAGGGGGGGGGGGGCTACTTTCCACGCCTTGCCACGCCAATCACGTCCGAAGGGGGGGGGAATAGAGCGCGAGGAATGCGCGGCTATGCGCGCGCATCGGTGCGAACCGCGGGACGGAGAATGCCGGCGTGAAGGGAGAAGCGTGACAACGGCAACAACAATAACACAGCTCGCTATCGGGCACAATAGCCACGACTGTCCAGCGCCGCGGAGCGATGGGGCAACCAGCGAGCCCGCCCGGTGGGCGAGGGGGGGCGGGCCGGGGGGCGGGACAACCGAGGGAGCAAGCGGGCCGCGCCCCCGCCCCTCCCACCCCCCGGCGCGGGGGGCGCACCCGTGATGCGTGTGTAAACGGGGGCGGGGGGGGGCGGCGGCCGGAGGCCGAGCGCAACTCGGGCGGCGGCCAGAGGCCGAGCGGGGGTGTGCGCCAGGCCCGGCGGGGGGTGGGGCGTGGCGGTGCGCACGAGCTTCGCGACCCGGCACGCCCGGCGGCCCCTCCGGCCTGGGGCGCGGCCCGGCGTAAGGCGGGGGGATCTGGGCCCGCTCTACTCACCGCGCACCGGCTGGCCGGGCCCGGGGCCCGGGGCCCGGGGGCGTGGCCAGCTCAGGGGCTCGACCAAAGGTGGCGGTGTTTCCTGTCGCCCCGCCGCCCCCCCCCCCCCCCGCCCCCCCCCCCCGCATGCCCACCATGGGAGGGCAACGAACGTGGCTGGCCGAGGGGAGGAACTTCCCCCTCTGGCGAATCACCAGCACCCGGCCGCAACACCCGAAAGTACCTGCGGCGAGGACCAAGGAAAAGCCCCTTCCTACCCCGGGGCTGGGTCCCGGGGTGGGAAGGGGCGGCCCGACCGACCGCCATCGCACGCGGACCGCGAGAACAATCGACCCGGCCGCAAAGAAGGTGCCGGTCGACAGGCCTCGAGCGCGGGGGCGGGGGGCGACTGGGTTGGGATGCACCGGACACACACAGCCCCCGGCGTCTGGCGGAACAGGGGCGCCCCCAGGGAGTCGGCCCTGGCCCGGGGCGGCTCTCC